CCTTCACCACTGACCCACCTTGTCGTGTCTCTCAGGCAGCACGTGGTGGCTGCTCCCTGCTGACCAGGCCCCACCTCAACAGTAGCTGGGGCTGACTCTCACCAACTCCTCATTCTAGGCTGCCTTCCTCACCCCTCCCAAGGAGCTATGGGCTCTTTTCTTTCTTGATTTATCCACACAGAAAGGAAGGGAGGGAGATTCAGGTGGAGTGGTCCTTTGGGGCTCTCTAATCAGTCCGGGTCTGCCCTGCTGACCTTTTAAATCTGTCTCCCCTTCCCGAGTTTTTGTAAGATAGGTGGTAAGAGTTTTATAGGTAAACAAGGCGGAAGTCCCTTCTATCCTCACTCCCCTACCCTCCGCTCCCAGCCAGCAGAATTTCAGCTCAGGAGGCAGGGCACACTCACCCCCACCCCATATGCACTCCTATGTAACTCTTTCTCTCCTCTCTCTATCTGTCTAGGCTCTGCCTTCCGCAGCCCGCCCCCTGCCCCTCTGTCCTGAATCAGGAAATATTTTTATTGCTTTCTTTTGTGACGAAGAGATGACCTTGTACCATGACCTGTATCTGTTAGAGGTTAACACCTATAAACTCTATGCTCTGGTCCTCCAAGCTTTTACTATCATCTTAAAGCTAAGCCTTTTGGAATTCAAAATAAAACCATCTCTCTCACATACACACGACTAGCTCTTTCAAGTCTCTTCAACTTCAGATGTTGTGAATTATAAATTCATTCAGCACCTTCACCCACTGCTTTGTTCTGGCTGTTTCCACTTTCTCCTGAAGTAATGAATGCCATTGAACCAATGGGTGGAGAGTCAAAAACTTTGGGAAGAAAAAGAACCTCAATTTAAAATTTTAAAATATTATTTTAATTTTTGATAACCCATATGCCTCCATTCCAAATAAATGAAGATCAAAATATGTGAATTAAAGTCAAGACGACATCAATCTAGTTTTTCCCAGTCCTGGTGCAGCATGCATAAGGAAAATCAGATCTCCCTAGTAAGAGCTCAAAGGAGGGGCCAGCCCATGGCTGAGTGATTGGGGTCAGACACTCTGCTTTGGCAGCCCAGGGTTTTGCCGGTTCGGATCCTGGGCATTGACCTGACACCACTCATTGGACCATGCGGAGGCAGTGACCTGCATAGCACAACCAAAAGGATCTACAATTAAAATATACAGCTACGTACTGGCGAGCTTTGGGGAGAAGAAAGAAAAAAAAAAAAGAGCTCAAGGGAATTCACCAAGTTTGATATTTCTCTGTTTTCAAACCATCCCACAGAGAAAATCACATGTAGATCACATTGCCTTCACCAAAATCTAGTGGAGGCTTAAACCATCTGGATTCCTGTTTTCGTCTGTAAAGAACTGACTGATTTTTAAATGAACACAGTGGTTGTGATTTGTTTCATAACTTATTGTCATAAAGGCTTTATGTTTTAGAGGGAAACTAGGTTTTTCTTTTTCACGTCTGCCTTGGACCAGTTTTATGTTGTCTTTGATGTATTTTTTGCAAATTTCAATTGTGGACATGACGGTGCAGTGCCAGGTCAGCCCCAGTGATTACTGAGATAGCTGTTATGCCCTCGCTGGGCCTTCCACAGAGATGTTGCTGCTCATGCCGGCGTTACCAGTGGTCCCCGCATTTCGAGAGATCATCTTCTCCTCCTCCGCTAAGCGCCGTTCATCCCCAGTTTCCTGGATCATGTAAGTGTTGGTGGGCTCTCAGCAGAGTTGATGAGCTTTTGGTGGACGACCCTGATGGCAGGTGGAGAAAATGGTCTGGAGGAGGCAGCTCTACGGGACTCAGAGAGATGTGTGAGCTTGACGCAGCTGAGGCTGGGCTCTTCAGCAAAGCAAGAGAGAAAATAAGCAGAGGAGATGCTTTTCAATAAGGAAGAGGGAGAGCATTTAATTCGGCGAATATTGAGAGTGTCCTACTTCCAACATTTTCACCAGCACTTTTCTATACGCTGTGGGGCAGAGGCTCATCCTGGTTTTGTGGAGCCTGAAGTTTACACAATCTGGGGGACCCTCTTTAAGAAAAAGAATACAAAATTATGTATACAAAATGAGTTATGAAACAATGAGTAAAGAAGTCACAACAAATCACATATTTTAAAAAGCTAACAAATAATATAAAATCACAAAATCCAGAAAAATAATACGATATTTTTATTAATTAACTGACTGCTATCCTTTTGTAGTACTTTTCCTCCCTATATTCTTTGGCTGTATATTCTTTGATCCCCTTTTTAAAGAAAACCATTTTATAATTTTTTTCTCTAGAGAGAATAGAATCACTCAATCTTTCCTTTGGGATGGGGGGTTGAAATTTGTTTATTGGTAGTTTGAAAGAATTGTTATTGGTTATGTCATTTAAAATTCTAAAGTTGTTGTTAAATTTGGGGTAACTTCTATCAAGTTCCCTTTATATCTAAGCTGTAAAATCTGGAAGAATTTTCCCCCATACTGGCGTCTGGTTCCACATGTTTCAGACTATGTTTTAGGTTCCTGATCCACACGCTTGTGGTGCCAGAAGCCACAGTACACATCTACCCTGTGATGCAGATTCTGGCCCCGTAATTCTTCTCATGACGCCGGGTGAGTTGGCACAATGGGTGGTAGTTTTCCTGGAAGCCATTCCTACACAAGGAGGACTAGCAGTGACTTTAACTATGCACAGACATGTCTGTGAACCAGATGAACATATCCCACTAAATCTGACTAAACGTGTCCCCAACTCAGCTTCACCTTAGCCGGTCCCCAAAATGCTCATGGCCACTTCTATGCCATCTACATAAGGGGGCATTGAAGTGGGATATGAATGGTTTTAACCATCTGAAGTTAAAATACCTTACGTTTGTCTATTTTATTAAAAAATGGGCAAACACATGGCAAGGGGCCTTCCTAGGACCTTGGAAGGAGCTCGTACAGATGAGGGAGTCTGAAGCTTCAATTTCATTCACTTCACAGTGTAGCCATATCTGATGGGGTGATGCTGAGTAAGGACTGAAATCAGATTCTTGCCAAGAAGACCAGCATGAAAGACCACACCACCACAATATCTAGTTCAGTGACTTGCTGACTGAGGCATTTTGAAGGAGAGGTGAGGGGTGGGGATAAATAAGCACTAAGTAACGACTCAGAGAGAGACAGGGAGGGTCCCCTGTAGGCTCTTAGCATTTGCTTGCCCCAGCACCCATGAGCATAGGCAGCCCACCCCCTGACCTGGCACAGCCCCATCCTGATGAGTTTCAGGAGAAATTTCAGCAATATCTCTGTTATCTTAACTTTTTGGACATTCAGGTGATGTGACTTTTGTTATCACCCTGTTTTTCTCCTGTGCTGTGTTACTGCCATGAATGGCTGGTCAAACTGGGCGTCCAGTGACGCATCTGCCAACAAAGGGCACGCTTTGACACATCTGAAACGCAATGACTGCCATCCTTACGTGCTGGAGTTCGGTGGGGGAGCACATTGACTTAGAGACCACAAAGGCAGCATTTAGCTGAGGAATTACAGTTGTTATCCATTAGGGTGTATTTTAGTCTGCCTCGAAAAGTTAATGTGTTTCACGGTTGCTACCAGGGAAAGACACAGGCCCTGGGAGATCTTGGTTCAACAATGACTGTCTTATGTAACAGAGTCGTTCACTTTACGGCCACCTTAGGAACCACTAAGGAACATAATAAGAAATACACAGAACTGGTTGTTGAGCTGCCCTTTCTCCCTTCGATTCAGACAGGAAAAGATGAAGCCACGGGGCCCTGGGGACCTATTGCTTAAGAAATATCTTTGTTTAATCATCAAGGCCAGAAGGATGACAAAAATGTCAGTATGGAACAGTGAATATGAGTGGTTGTTAAACGATGCTTGTCCCGTCACTGCTGTGTCAATGTGGTGTAATTAGGATGATTTTCTGAACAGCCTTCCTATTCGATGCCATCAGAATTTTGGAGGTGATGCTTAAGTAATTATCTGTGTTCCTCCTCGCTCCCTGTTTTCTCTTCCCTCTGAATGGCTGCCAAAACAACCAGAGTCATATAATTTTAGAGCTGGGAGCTCAGGGAGAGAGGTTTGGATCCTGATGAGCCAAGCACGAGAGAGACTTGAAAGAATCTGAACAACCCTCAGTTGTTGATCCTACACGTTTACTTAATATTAGCTGGTGTTGGCAGAGGTTTATATTGGAATGGCTGCAACTTTCTGTGCCCCACATAAGCAAGATAAAACTCGGGAAAGGAGTGTTGGTTTAATTTAGAAAGGTTCTGGTTTTTATTTGATACGAAACAAATCATGCAGTTTACAAGTCCTGTGACATTCAAAGATTTAACTAGCATTTTTTAATATGCTGTATAGGGTCTATGAAAGACAGATGCCAAGATGGGGCCTTTGAAAACATGAAACATCTATAAATAATAACTTTGGGTATTTCACCTGTGGAGGCTTTTTTTCTTTATATTATTTTGTTCTAAAATTAATTTGGATCTAGCATCCTCTTTTTGTCCCTCAAATGCTATTTACCAAAACATATATTACGGGGACAAGAGGCGAATTGGATGATCGAGCTGAATTATGTCATTCCCCAATCTGTCACCTTTCGTTTTAACTCTGGCATTTGTATGTATGGCATTATAAACCTCATCTGGCATAAAGAATGCATATACATGATCGGATTAAGTATTTTTCAACCTGAAATCCCCAAATTTCAAATGCTTTGGTTTAGCCCATGGAACACTTCTCTCGAATTTTCTCTGTGCTCGGCAAGTTGGGTGCGCAGGAGGTACACTGAGTCTTCCTTTACCCAGGAAGGCTGTTTGGGGATTCTCAGAAGGGGCTCATTTCCTCTTCTGCTAAATGTATACCCAGGCCTGACTTGGGCTCTGTTCTTGTACCCTGCCCCTCAAAATAAGAGGCAACAGCACCGCTGAGAAGATTATTTCTGTTATCTTGACAATCAATATAGATGTATAGAATTGATTTTATGTTCCAACAGGCTCCAATCATGACAATGATGAGATGCCAGGCCATTTTCCCTGCTATACTGGACAAAAATTTGGCCACAGGGAAGAAGAGAACTCATGTATTCTTACAAGTCATCCATGAAGAAAACTACAGGGAAAGAGTGGTAAATGTGAGCCACTAGAAGAATGGAGATGTGTTGGTGATTTTCCATGTTTCCTCCACTGGAAAGAGAAATCAGTGGACTTGACCTGCAAAACCCCAGACTAGAGGAGGAATTGCGACTCCAGTGGTCCCAAGAGGCTAAAAAGGAGGGATACAGTCACCATGACTTTTAAAATCTCTGATTACTCATCTCTCAGAGTAAAATTTGGGACTCAAATGCTTTCATGAAAATGAAACAGACTTTAGGAGGTCTGCTTTCGGGGGTGCTCCAAGAGCTGAATATTACATTTTATTTGTTCCAGAAAGTTCTGGCAACTTGGTACAGCAAATTCGATTGGCACCATACGCCCGACCTGTCTCAGTAATGGTGTCGTGTGTGTGATGAGGACTGCAAAGCAGCATGTGTTCGTGGAGGAAATGACAGGCACAGGAAGGAAAAGCTGAGAACACAGAGACTGTTCCTAATTGTGCAGTGAGAAAAAGGAGGCTACTGCCTGGCAGGGTGGCATGTTGGCTGAAAGAGGGGGGTGATCAGCAGGGCTGGCAGGAAGAGGGTAGACTTGTGTGAGCTGACAGAAGAGGCAGCAATCTGGAGGAGTCTCAGCTTGCAAAGCCCTGAGAGAAAGGGATTTCATTTCTGCCCATGTGGGAGCTGGTGGGAGGCCCAAAGGAAGCTTTCGTGGGAACTATAGAAAGAGCTGTGGGCTCCAGAGGGGATGAGCTGTGAACTAGATGCTGTTTTCAAAGGCTTGAAAGTCAGAGGCAAGTTTGCTTCAGTTTGTTGAAAGATACTTTATTGGGAGGATTTCCACTTAGGTTCTGGCCTGAAAGAAATATCTACTCTTCTTCCTCTATCAAGATTCCTTCTCCTTGCAGAAGTCTAAAGCTCACAGGTGGTCCTCAGGGACACATTTCTTTCAAGTGGGATTACTGGTGTATTTGGTCTGAAAAGCTGATTTACTGCAACATTGCTGTCACCACATTGGGCCTACCATGTGGTTGGTGTGGCTGATGTTTATCAGACGGTGGTGTTTCCAACGTAGGCCTGAATGAAAGATGAAGCTGAGGTCAGAGATGTTTGTCAGCTTTGAGAAATGCTGAATTTTCCAAAGCATAAGCCTTAGACAGACTATTGTGAGCCTGCATAAAGGGGCTTTCGTTGACTTGTCCAAAGGAAGGGAACACAAAGTTGGAAACCTGTGGAGGGCTTGGAGGAGTTGTCACTGGGGAGCTCTTTTCCCACCTTCCCCAGGTGATGCAGGCCGACACATAGCCCTGGGAGGAGAATAGTGGTCCCTAAGACTCACAGCATGGTTTGATGTGTTTTCTCAGAAAGGCACCATGGCAGTTAAGTGACATGGTGACCCTCTCCCTGGAACCAAGCCTGAGCTTAGGGGCACAATGTGGGGGTGGATGTAAAGGAAGTTCCTCTGTTACTGTGCTTGGATTATAAGTAATTGTCAACATGGGAGCATGCTGATTTCTAACCATCAGTGGTGGATCTGTGACTTCCCAAGCTGGCGGCTGACCTCAAGAGGACTGTTATAGACATTGTGGGACCCACAGCATGAGAAAAGAATTACTACCTCCCTTTCTATCCCATGACCTCTAACAGTCTGGTCACCACCATGGCCTTTTGTTCTTGGAGGGGACAGGAACTTTGGAGAGTGGGGTCACTCCATTGCTTCTGTGGGTCATCTTCCCAGACTAGCCTAAGCCTCAGAATCTCAGTCTTCAGCTCTGTTTTGCAGATCTGTTTTTAGAAGTTTTTTTTAAAAAATTATGAACTACTGTGTTTCAAGCATATAGAAAAGTGCAGAAAATAATATAATAGATAACCAAGTATCTACCATCCAGATTTAACAAATACAAACATTTTGCCTCATCTGTATCAGATATTTTTAAAAATTGGAGATGGATTTCAAACCTCTGCATATCTATTTTTAGTAGATGGAAAAGCATAAACAAGTTTAATTCTACTAAGCTGCTGGCTATACATAGCAGCTTCCTCTTCAAATAATGGAAACTTTGTGGATTCACGCACAGCACTGAAGTCCTAGCAATCTGCTTCAACCAGAAAGATCGTCAATAAAGCGTTTGTCTCAAGACTTAAACAAATTTTCTGAGACTTACAATGTGTGTCTTTCTTTATCAGTTTTCCAAATGTCCACAGGGTTAATACCCATCCCAGCCAAATGCCAAGAACCCTCTGGCTCCAAAGGGTATAGGTGGGAAAAAGTGCACCCTAACCTACTCAGAGGTTTGCCCCATTTAATGAGAAAAAACTCAGTATTTTCAGAAAATTAAACAACCCTTCGAACAATGTTGCAAACTTTTCAGTTGTCCACAACAGCCAAACTGCTAGAAAGCTAAGCATTAACTAACCTATTGTTAGAGAAGCTAGAGTACTTAAGGCTCTGTAGAGACACATCTCTCCTGAATTCTAGTCCTGAATTTCCAATTCAATTCATTTCTACCAGAATGGCCTGAGAATGTTTCAAATTTAAAATGCTCGAAGCCAACCTCATTCTCTTTCCACTGGATTATGTCCTCTTTGCAATTTCTCCATTTTTCCGTAAAAGGCACCGCTATTCTTCTAGCCACGTTCATTCAAAGTGTTGGAGCCAGCTTCAATTCCCGGTCTGCTTTGTTTTTAACATCCGGTATCTCTCCTCAAAATGCTTCTCACATCTGTTTACTCCATTCCAATCCCACTGCCGCCATTCAAATTGGGATATTTTTCACCATTATGGTTTGGCTGTTGCAGCAGATTCTGCTTTTCCTCTTTCTCTTTTCAATCTCCTATCAGTATCAGATTAATCTTCTGAAAGAAGCATTTTGTGCCTTTCTATTCAAAATAATTCAGTGAGCCCCATAGCTTACCAAAGACCAATTTTTAATCCAGAACATTCTGTGTTTTTCATAATCTCTTCTAGTGCCAGCTTTCTATGTGTATCCCACATTATACCTCAATGAAGCCTCTGCCCCAGGCACACAGTACTACTTGCCCTCTCTAATTTTCTGAGTCTTGTTCAGTTATTTGCTCTGCCTGAATCTTCCTTTCCCTCCTTCATTAAACTAACTGATCTTCACTGGGCACCTGATGTGAACCAGATCATGTGATAGGCCTGAAGAACACCAGTGAACAAGATAGAAACAACCCCTGCCTCTGCAGACCTTACAACCTAGGGTATGAAAAAAGGAATAAACAGGCAGTTGGCTTGCCAGGCTGTGGAGGAAGGAAATGACAAGGAAAGACAAGGATCCTAGACTCAGGCATGGCAATTCATATCAGGCTTTCCAGAGGAATGGACACACAAATTATGATTCATTCTTTATGGTGAAGGAGAGGGAAAGAATTCTGCAGCAGAGGGAATCAACCTGCTCAACTCCTACCCATCCTTTAATACCCAGCTCAAATGCCTTCTTGACCAGACAAGTAGCGCACTGTGAGAGCACAGGTTCAAAGTTGCACAGACCCAAATTCTAACTCTGACTCTGCTACACACTAGTTGTATAAATGACCATGCTTAATTTACTTAATCTTACTAACTGTCAATCTCCCAATCTGTAAAAATACAACTCTTACATCAAGAGTTCACTCATTCAATAAATATTTATTGAGCAAAGAGCCACATGCTCTTCTTGGTAATAAGGATACAACTGTAAACATGATAGAAATCCTGGCTTTTGTGACAGTTACATTCCAGTGAGGAAAAGTAGACAGTAAGTAAAATAAATATGTAAATTATATGGTATATTAGAGTATATTAGAATTTATATAGAGTATGTAGAATATATAGGGTATATTAGAATTTATATATTTCTATATATAGAAACTATATATATTTCTATATAGAAATTCTATAGAGAAAATAAGTCGTGGAGAGGAGATAGAAAGAGCAGGGGGATTGTAATTTTATTTATTCATTCATTTATTGAAACAAATAGTTTTGAAAGCTCACCACATACTATGCACTGTTCTAGGCCCTGGTGATACAGCAGCAAGCAACAGACAAAAATCTCTGCCTTTATGGAGCTTACTTTCTGGTGGGAGAGAGAGACAAGAAACAAGATAAAAATAGGAAAATACGGAGATTTTAGTGTAAAACAGGAAGGATGTATGGGTAAAATGAGTAGAAGTATTCACATTTTAGACAGAAGGGCCAGCTAAGCCTAGTGAAGAAGCAATAGTTGATTTAAGACGTGGAGGAAAGGAGAGGGTAAGCCATGTGAACAAATGGTAGAAGAGAATCCCAATAATAGCAAGTACAAAGGTGCCAAAGTAGGACCGTCCTGGTGTGGGTAGGGGGAGTGAGTGAGGGGGAGAGCAGAAAGAGAGGTGGATAGATGAGGGTGGTGAGGCAGGTCAGGGCCCTGTGGGTTATTGTGAGGACTTTGGCTTTCATTTGGAGTGACGTGGAAAGTCTGTTTGGAGCAGAGAAGTGACCTGATCAAACTTACATTTTAACAGGATCACTCTGGCTACTGTGTCAAGAACAGTCTGAAGGGGGACCAGGGCAGAAGCTGAGAGAACAGGTGGGAGGCCACTGCAAGAATTCCAGCAAGGGGTAATGGTGGCTTGGACCAGACTAGTAGCATGGAGGTGGGGAGAAGTAGGGGGTTCTGGATATATTCTACAGGCATAACCAACAGGACTTACGATGGATCAGATGTAAGGTGCAGTAGAAGTAATTTGACTCCATTTTTGGCTTGAACAACTGGAAGAATGGAATTGCTCTTTACTGAGATGGGGAAGACTTCGGGAGGAGCAAGTTGGAAATATTAGGAGTTCAGCTTTTGACATGTTGAGTTTGATTTAGAATGATCTAACAAGGTTTCACTGAAAAGGAGACAGTTCAGAAAGACTTGAAGGAGATGAGGAAAGAAAACCTGGAAAGACTTAGTAAGAGGGTGTTTGAAAGAACTCCTAGCACAGTGCAGTGTCAGGCAAACTCAGGCCTGGTTCACTCCATTCTATCATCCTTAAAGATCTTATGCTCCAGGGGCAGCAGCTAATACTTATTCATCATTACATCCTCCCTCTAGTGGGTAGACTGTACCTTGTCCATTGTAGTTGCTAAACAATATTTGCTGGATGCATGAGAGAAGGGAATGAGCCGTAATCAGTAATGGTGACTGTTCCAACTGCCTTCCCTTTCTCTTTTCCTCCCAAGGAAGAGATCCTGGCCAAGATGCTTTACATTTAGGCAGGGGAATTGGAGGTCTGTGTCGTCTACCTTATGGTTAACACAGTGTGGTGATTCTCCGAGTATGGTGCCACCTGCAGCAGAATCAGCAGGGGTAGTGGGTAAAATACAAATTCCTGGACACTTTCCCAGACCTTCTCAATCTGAATTTCTAGGGGAAAAGCTGGGATCTCTCTCCTTTACAGACTCATCGAGTGATTCTTCAGAAACTAAAATTTAAGAACTACTGACACTAAAGATGACTGCTTATTGACATTTTTCCTTGGAGGCAGATAATTTCTAGCCGTGATGTGGTGAATTACAGCCGCTCTGCAATTTTATGATAATGTGTGCTCATCACCTAATCAAACTGCTCCAGTTGAGTTAGAACCTGGCTGGCTCGGATCCCCACTCACATTGTCAGGTGATTGCTTCAGCCAAAGACGCCTTTTGCCAAATACCTCTCAGTTGAACTTTGCAGCTTAAGGAGAGAAGTATGAGGGAACACATAAATGCCAAATCTCTTATTATTCTAGGAGTTTTCAAACAATGAATACGATTCCATCCCACATTCTCAAGAAATAGGGTAGCACATGTATTTCACTCTTAATTATAATGAAGCAAGAAACTCAATTTCGTCACATTTCTCGGTGAGTCTATGCCACAAATAGGACTAAAAGTCACTTGTTGACTTATGGCACCATATTTAGTGGGCCCTTTATGGCTCACCTTCCAATGCCACTAAAATGTCAGCTCCGTGAGGGCAATGTTAGTATTGTGCATTGCTCCCTCCCCAGTGCCTAGAAGAATGGCCGGCATACAATAGTTACTCAATAAGTGTCTATGGATGGATGAATAAATGCATTCCACTTCCTGAAGTGAACAGCCAAGTTCATAGACATTCCCATCTGTGGAGTATCATTGTTTCCTGTAGTTTACTTCCATGCACCTCTTCTCATCAGTTAACTACCCATATATAAATCTGTGCAGTTTTCACTTAAGATATAACTTTCTGGTGACCCCATAAAAAATTGGCAGCAATTCTCAGAAAGGATGATATTGTAATTGGTCTTGAGGGGGATCCATGGAGGGATAAATTTCACATTATTCATGTTTCCAGATGGGCTTTAGTCCCCAGGGCAGTCATTCCAGAACCTTTTCTCAGCCTTAAGTTTACTCCAAGAAATATGAATAGTGATTTACAGCTTGACTGCTCCCACAAAAGGCTCCCCTGTTTTTGGCACAGAGTGGGAAATAGGGCAGAAGAGAGGGCAGCTGGGAAGCAGAATAAGGGGCTGGCACCCACAGAGAGGGCACTGTGTGTGAGCGAGATGCTGGTCTACAGTGTCTCCCTGGAGGGTGATGTCTTGGGGGTGGGAAGACAGGCTAGAGAAGGAGTTTTCCACATGGTTCAGGAAGCTTTGAGCAGCAATGAGCCCTGGATGCTGGCATGCTAAGATTGGAGTAGATGTGGGTTCATCCTACCCTTCCATAAAAATAGTCCAAATACCAAGGCTACTGTCCAAGGCTGCATAGTTCAGCTGGTTGGGGTGCTGTACTACTAAGCTTTCACAGTAGTACTTCTTGAGCTTTTATTAAGCTAACATATTAACTCCTTCAACAAATATTTATGTGTCAGCTTCTGTGCTGCGTGCTAGGGAGACAGCCATGAACAAGGATGGGAACGAAGGACCATTTTTATCAGTGAATTCTTCTCTGTTTCGTGGCCTCAGATTCAAGTCCTAGTCAGATATTTCTCAAATGCCTGTTGTTGTTTTCAAAGGGGTATATTCAGAGTAGATAGATCAGAGTAAATTCTTCAGGGGTTCTCAACTATGGGTCAGGGGAACCCAATATTCTAAGGCTATAATGATATAATATATGATTGAATATCGGCCAGTCACACACTAGGCATTT